TTTTCGGTTTTATTTAAATCCAGTTCGTTGACACACAGTGAAATGGTAGTTTCAGGTATACCGTATAGAAATTCAACAGTTCAATACAACAACACGTCATCCATCACAACAAAATTTTTGAAATCTCTTGACTCTCCCCTGCATCATACCCCTTATGGTGGATTTGTAATACAGCTTATAAAAATTCACTGCCTTGTTTCACATGCTCATGGTAAGGAGCTTGAGAACACACTATGGGATTATACAAAACAGGATCAAAATTTGTTACTCAAGCCCCATTTTTACTGATAAACCTGGTGATGGCCATACCTCGGCCTTGGGGTTTTTTTCATCTTCTTCCATTATACTTCCCTTCCGTCCTCCTTTGCCTCTTCATCTTGCTTTTCCTTGCTGCTCCCAGGACAACTTAGAGCCCTCTAGTTCTCCTTTCCTCCTTCCCATCTGTATGATTCCCGCTGCCAAAATCTGGTTCCTGGCAAAAGGCTCAGTGGTAGTGGTAACCACAGAGCTGTGTATCACTCTAATGAAGAAAGAGCAGATTTTAAGTTCTCTGCCAGAAAAAGGTGAGGCATCCCCATGGTCCTGCTGGTAGTGAGCTCTGATCTGGAATCTACTGGAACTAAGGACAGCACAACCTTAGTTGGGCTCTTTCTGGTCTCAGGGAACCTGGGAGAATCTGCAGGGATCCCTGAAGCTCCAGAAAGACCCTCACGGTCGGCAAAAGATGTCTTGGCTTGTTTAGGAGAACTCACATCTGGAAATGACTTGCCTCCCATCTGAGATAGTTGGGAACTGCCATCTTTCCGCTCAAAGGGTTACTAAAAAAGCAAATGTTCATTCTCATACTTCTTGCCTTTCTCGGGAGAGAAAAATGAAGCTTGCAATTCACCAGAGAAATAAAGCCCGCACGCACACTCACGCACACAGAGCAATGTGGTGTGCTGTTAATTGGCTGGATATTAGGGATCACAAAAGAAAGGATAGCAACCCAAAGCGAATAGGTCATAAATGGGAGAACCCACAGAAATGGGCAAGAACGCGATAGAAAAAGCCAGACATGGTAAATTTTATTGACTATTGATTTAGGAGAGACAGAGGGGGTATGGAAGTTTATCTGTATATCCGAAGTATAAAACACAATGCGCGGCATCATTCTGCCAGAAAAAGGTGGCATTCTGTGTACGTTTCCATAATCTGTCCTGCGATCCCTGTCTTTAAGTGTGTGTGCCTCCCCTTTACGGAGGGGCAGCCTGGGGTTGAAACAAGAGACTTTGAATATTGACTCCACCATTTACTAGCATTGCGGCCTGCAGCAAGTCAAATGCTCCCTCTGGAAACAACCTGTCCTTCAGGCCTATTATGAGGGCTCAAGGAGATGTTTGTGAGGAGCCTAGCAAGGTGTCCGGAACACCGTAGATTCCCTTCCCCTTCCTCCACACTTTCATGAGGCCTCTTGGTCTTCACGGCGGGACCTTGAGGAACAACTCTCTCCCAATTTACTTCTGATTCACTCAGGTAGGTTGTGTAACTTGGCCGAAATCGTTAGTCCAGCGGTGGGCGGAGTAGTGACGAGAACTCAGAACTACTGAGGCTTCTCGTTGTCCCAGTTTCCCCTCTTGGGCCCACGAAAGGAGGCAAAGACACAGTCTTGCTTTAGAACAGCGGCCAGGGGCCTGAGCCTTTAGGGGAAGGGCGGGGCTGGGAAACGCCGGACTTTGGGCTCCCCTGCACCCCGAACCTCCTGACCCTCAGGCCTACAGGCCGGGGCATGACGAGACGATCGGATGACCCGGGCGGCGCAGGAGCCACCGCCGGCCAGCAGGCCAGCCTTGGGCACCACGTGGCGGCGGCCCGGCCTCCCTCCCGCCAGCTCTCGCCGGCTCCTGGTCTCGGGAGGCCCCGGGCCGCGGCTGTCAGCGGACGCAGGAGCCTGGAGAGGAAGACCGGCCCCAGTCCCCGGCCGCAGTCCCCGGCCCCAGTCCCCGGCCCCACCCGCTGGCGTCCCCCGCGCTCAGCCGCTAGGGCGGGGCCTCGCCAAACAATTCAAAACACGCTCGGGGCGCGTCGCCATGGCAACGCGAGCCCGCTGCTAGGCGACAGGGGAGCCATAGTAAACCGGGGGCGGAGGTGTTACTCATGGAGGGAGGGGGGCGAAGGGAGTCGGCGGGGACTCGGCGGGGCTCGGACACCGCGACTGCAGGGGGGGAGGGAGAGCAGAAAAGTAGGGACGAGGGGGGCGCGCGCGGAGTGCAAATGGAGCGGCCCAGCTCCGGGCCCTGAGCATCCCTGGGGAGGCCACTCCCCTTCGGCGCCCCTTCCCGCCCCGCGGTCCCCAAGAGCCCCCAGCCCCAGCTGGCCCCGAGGGCTCGGTCACCCGCGCGCGTGAGCGATTGCCCCACAGGATGTGCAGATGTGGCTGCCGCTCTGATTCACTCCAGCTGCTTAGGGCATGGAAGAAAGGCCGCTTCCTCTCCTGGAAATGACTGCATTAGCAAAAGCCCTCTAACAATTCCACCAACAACGGAAAGGGAAAGGCGACAGAGGAGAGGCCCCCAAATGCTATTCTTCAGTGCTTCCCACTGGACATAAGTAGAAGCGTTCCCAGAACTCAACTGGGGACCCATGTTAGAAAGGAGTCGTATTTATTCTACACGCCCCTGTTCTGGGGCCATGCGGACACTAAACACTTGCGGGTGAGGTTAACCTGAGGCTGAGAAATCCCACAGCTAAGGGTCCTATGTTAATATTTTGGACATTCGGCATGGGCACTTTGGTGACATGACTCTTCCCTTCTGGGCTGGGAGGCCTATCAAAATGTCCTGCGTGAAGACATTCCTCATTTTATCAGTGATTCTGTGAGCTTGTGGAGCTGTGAAATCTCAGATGGCTCAAGATATGTCATCCGAATGGGTTCCAATCACTAGGGAATCACAGAGCTTGGGAAAGGACATGGCATTTCCAATCCGTCACTGGCTTTTAAGCAATCTGTTTGTACCCTGCTATCTGTGAACCAAAGATAATACTCGTTCGTGAGATCACTGCTGTTTTCTGGGCTTTGCTCATCAAAAAGCAGGAATGTTTCCACAGGTGGGAGGAAATGTATTGGCAGCGGATCTGTTCAGTGAAACTATGGGTGCATCTGTGTAGAAAGGCACAGGGCGTGTCTGTGGACCTGTGGACCTTCTACCTTCTCTCACTGTTCTCCTGTATGGGAATCAGGAAGATTTGCGTGTCCCTTAACAATAAAAGACTGTTTGGGACACTTTTCTTTATTCACATGTGCTCTTCACCCATAGGCTTCCTCATTGTATTCTGAGCCTGGTTTCCATTACAAACCTCATTCACTGATTCCCGGCTGTTAGAAAGTGCTGGGCGCTGACGATCAACAATGAATAAAACACAGCTGCTCCTGTATCTAGCGACTTAAAGTCAAGTGAGCATGTTATGAGCTGCCTGAGAGGCACACGGTAGAACGTGCAGGAACAAAGAACAGGGGCATGTAGATCGGAGCCAGTGACAGCAGAAACATTTCGCATTCCACTCCAGCTTTTTGTCTGCTGAGTAACAGAAAGGGATTAGTTAATGGGTCATGGGTCAGATAATCTGACTCCTGGGCAAAGGACAGAGATACTACTGCTAGGGAGGGCAAATGAACCCATCCTGGGAGAAGAGGCCACTATTGATAATGGGGCGGGGGACAGACAAGAAGGGATTTGCCACGAGGCTTTGCCTTAGGGAAGTGGTATGCTATGCAATTTTCTCTGGCTCAGCATTCTTACCCATTGTTTTAATCATGTCTAATGGACACTGTATTCACAAAACAATAAATTGGATTCCTGTTTACAGAGTTTGTGTGGGTGTCCCCAAACCATTGTTTCCCTTTGTGTGTACTTAATAAATATGGTTTCGTATAGTGCAGGGAACAGGGACTGAGGACCTTAGCAAGTATAGGTTAGTCCCAACCCTTGGTTTGGTGATGTCATAAATACTGAGTCACCTATACACCCCCATGGGGAATCGTCCTGACATGGTAACAGTCCAACATACCAAAGTTAAATACTGTTTTGGGATGTGGAATCTTTGCGTCTGTCCTGAGTCATGAGCTTCTGAGCCCAACCTAATTATAGTCATGTTGCATTGACTAGCAATGACTTTTTCTGTTCTAAGAGAGGAAAGAGAAGAAAAAAATATTAACATGCCTAAATTATAATGAAAGGAAGTGAGTGGGATGCCAGACAGAGAAACTCATGGTTCATCAAAAAGGGGAAATTAGACATTGTGGCATAGGGTCCTCGGGGAGGGAGGGTGTCCTCGAGATGGATCACAGCTAGTAGCCAGCCAGCCCAGCCATGCAAAGAGCCAGCCTTCGAAGGGGTGGATTCAGGCTTTAGGGAGGCCTAAAGTAATGTAACTTTGGAGGCTCTCTTTAAGAAGAATCATACAAAATGAGGAGTATGTAACGGGCTGGGAAAGGGCCTGAGTTAGCAGAAGACCCCAGAGCCAAAGTGTCCCTGGCTTCACTCAGTCTACCTCTAGGCCTCCTCACATAACCTCCAGACTGTGCCGCTCCCGTCCCCTTTCCCTTGGAGAAGGCACATGTAATGCTATGAGGGCAGAGGGGGTGCGGTTTCTGAGCAGAGGCAATAAAAACCAAAGACATCAGACTGTGCCAAACAGTGACTCAAGCGGGATATGAGAAGCGTCTGCAAGTATTTGAAGGGTGTAAGCACAGAGCAGGGAAAAGAATTGTTCACTGTTCTGGGGTGGAAAAGGGAATGAGGATACGATTCAATAAAGAAAAATGTGCGCAAAACTCATCAGGAAACATTGGCGAACTCTATTTTCTGACACCGTGGAGTTGTATTTCCCATGGGAAGTATTTGAGGATCTATTGAGTCACTGGAACTGGAACTGGCCACACACACAAAAAAAAAATGTGCTACAGGAAATAATCCTGCGAGATGTCCTCGAGGGAGCGCCTGGATGCTCCCAGAGTTCGTTCTGAGCCCTGAATTCCAAAAGGCTGACACATGGCATTGTATAGATTAGTGAGTGGGGAGGAGGCCAAAGGAAGAAAAAAGAGCCATCCCCCGCAGGGAGGGACAACCACCTGCACCCCTGACTGGAGTTCAGGACGGAAGAGGAAAAACATGAGGAGACAGTGCCACCCAGCGTCAGGACAAAAGCTGTAGCCAGTTGAAACGTGAAAAGTGACCACAAAATTCCTCCTCCCTTCTCCCGGAGAGAGAGCTCTGCCACAATGAATTAAGGGTCCTTTGGGTGAAACGGAGAATCAACGCCTGGGCATAAGCACATGCGTGTCAAATGTGCTGTTACATCAGTCCTAGAAGAGTAGGAAGCAAGATCCAGAGACACCCATCTGGCTACAATCTGGATTAATTCTGTCAGAGGGGAGCGGGCCTTTGAGTCCCCAAACTAACTGTACAAATACACAACAGGAAAACCATGGCTTGGTTGGTGGCAAATCTGGAAGAGGTGGGGGAGGGCCGGGGTAGAACACGAAGGGTTTCGTTAAACCTAAGCCCAAAAATGAATCAAACAGGTATTACTTTATGGTACATTCATTCCCTGGCTGTATATTTTACAGTCTGTTCGGCCTTTTCCTCATTGTAAAGCTGAAGTGGCAACTTCCAAGCTCTTTACCTGCGGAACCAGAAACCAGAAGTCCATCCCTGGGTATATACGAAGAGTTTTCTACAATTGCACATTCCTGGACCTCACTCAGCCTTACTGTGGAATCTCAGGATGGGGCCCAGGAATCTGAGTATCTTTCAGTTTTCTGATGCTCAGAGGTTGTTCTGATGCTCAGGCAGAATTAAGAACCTCTGCTCTCCAATTAAAGAGTGGCCTTTTGAGGACGGGACGATCAAGCCAACTAACATGAACCACAGAAAGCATTACAAGAGGGGTGCAGTATGGAAGGACAGAGAGGAGGGGGTTGTTCTTTGAGAGAAAAGAAACATTTTCCAAGAATGAGTGGCCTTAACACTACTCTTGATAAGAGGCAGATCGCCAGATAAAAAAGGACTGAGGACATTCCAGGTAGAAAAAAGAGCGCCTGCAAAGGCACCCAGGACAAAAAAATGTGTGGCATCGGGCATTTGGAGAATCAAAAGCAGCTGCAGAACGAGCTCCATCCTTGCCATCCCAATTAATTGGTACAATTTTTGAGGACGGAAAGAATTCCTGGTTCTCAGGTGGCTGGCCGCAAGAAGATATGCAATCCACCCCTTACTGATTTGTCAAATTACTTTTTTAAAGTTTTAGAAACACTTTTTAAAAAAATAAACATTCTTCTTCCTATGCCCTGTAATATTTTCTGTGACTGCCATAAAATCAAGCCCAGTCCCACCAGCTACCGAGGGAACGGCAGTCAGATGGAAACTGAATCTTCACTTACTTTTTAAAGACCCGTCCCTCTGAGAATGCAGGTCCTTGCTTCTTTGTGCTTAATCCTGGATCCCTATTGGCAAGCTCTCCCATGTAATCTTCCAGAACAGCTGGGCCATGATTGCATTGTCAATTATTAAATGCCCAAGTTCCCTGCAAGGCAGCGGTTTAATCAAGAGGCACTCCAAAAAAATAGGAGGTAGAGGAGGAGGGAGGGGCCGGGAGGTGGGAGGGTGGGAAGGCAGTTTCATTCTGTCAACATTAAACCAAAGGGATTTGGGGCACAGATGGCATCCGTGGTCCTTCAGACAAGCAGCAAGTCGCTGACCATGGCCAAGGTAACCCAGCTTCCCGCTCTTATTGCTCAGAACGTACATTCCATGGTTATTTTGCACCTGATTTAGAGGTGTGTCTGTCTCATCAATGTGTTGTCTATGTTAATTCTGAGTTTTTCTGTTAACCTCTGTCGATGGAAGAATTAGTGACGTTTTGGCACCATGCACTTCCAATTGGCCTGAGCCAGAGTGTCAAGGGAAGCCACTCTCTGCCCGTTTTCTCAAGAGTAGAGAGTCACCTTGGCGCGGGACTTGTCAGCATATGCAAAGATAAAATTTTCTTATGGCTGCTACCCCTTCATGATGACCTTAAAGAGACCATTGCAAAATTAGACTTGGCCTTCCAATGCAAGAGGTATCTGAATCCTGGAGAGAAAAGGACATGTTTAGAGGAGAAATAAAATACAGGATGAAGGGCGCAGTACTGTAAGTGTTGAAGATGATTCTCGAAAGGGCTCTTGAATGAATTCCCATTCAATAATCAAAATAATTCTTGAATGAGTCTCCTTGTGTCCGTCCTTGGTAGGACACCCCTTCTAGAAGCAGCCTCTTTGAGCTTTACTCCAAGCTGTAGTTCATCCTTTGTCTCTCAACTCACTGCTTCCTTAAATTGGTTATCACCTTGGTGCTGCAAAGTGGTTATACCATGGTGTGGGGTTCATTATTCTTATCTGGCAACAGTCTGCAGAATAACCTACAAATACGTGTGACTTGAAATGGATTGAGGGTAAAGAAAAAAATCTGATGTGATGATAGTAGTCAAATCTCCAAGCCATAAAGTTGCTGAAAATATAGAATTGCCTAAATCATTAGCTCAGTCTGTATACAGAATGATTAATGAAGATGTTTCATCTGGAAGTCCATTGCCTGTTCAAGCAATGGATGTGAAAATAATTAGAAAGAGTAACTTATAGTAACAGAGCAATGACTAAACCAATAGATTTCAGAACTAAAAACAAGATGAAAGCATTCTTTTGGGGGGACAGGGGCAATATGTGACTTCCATACCTGGTAATATAAGATCTTTCTTCATTACTGATGCTGTGGTTTTCAGTCTTTACCAAGGTCACCCAGAGTCTTGCACAGACTGACAATTCTTGGGGGAGTTAATTTGTTGAGTGCTTTTTTAAAGAAATCATGTTAGCAGATTGCTTTCCAGAAGTTGTTTTATCATGTATTTTATGTATTGATTTTTATATGCATATGAACCTTATATATTTCTTATTGCCATAAATAATCTGTCCTTTATCTGTGGTATGCACTGTTTCAGTCCCTAGAAATTCTGAAGAACAAACTGTTACATTTCTAAGATAAGGTTCTCTGTTAAATGTAGAAAATGCTAAGCTGGAGATGATGAGGCAGATTTATGAGCCTGTCCCATTTAGCTATGGTTTTATTTACGTTTCTTAAGCTAAGAAGATTTAGGTCTGATTAATTCTGATATGAGAGATCCCCCGGAAAGCTCAAGATGGTTTACTTAAGAAGCGTCTGTCAGCAACTAAATATGGGCTTCTTTTCTGTTCCGTATGTATTAATGTAACAGTATAAACAGCTCCATAACACAAAAGTGTAAGACCGGTCAGATTTCTTTATTTTCTAAAGTTCAGTCTGGCTCCGAGCCACCACTCATCAGGGTTGAAATATCTACTATTAGTCATTTTTCAGCTGGCTCTCCTCTTAGGCTAAAAATGAGGAGGAGGTCAGGGGCTCTGGCCAGAGCCACACGGGCCACACATCTTTCTGCGGCCACACACTGTCCCCGCTGTGAGGCAGGCACCACTGCTGCCTCAAGCAGTGGAGATGCCCCTCCAGTTCCTCCCCAGTGGCCAAGGGCACCCTCCCTGTGGCTCCATGACCATAACACTTGGTGTCCAGTCTCCACGGGCACCACCCGGATACCGCCCATTTGAGATTCTGTCATCTCTGTGGCAGTGTGTGAAAGCCGGACCCAGATCACCATCTCTCAGAACCTATAGCCCCATCTCCTCTCCCGGGGTCTCAACACCCCCGCGTCCCAGTTGGTCCACTGCCTTCTTTAATCCTGAAGGCCCTAATCCTTGCTCCCCGCCCCCTGACTGGGATGAGCCACTTTAATGTTTATCGAGAGAACATATCCCGCTTTCCTCTCCTCTCCGAGGAATCTGTCAGGCAGAGAAGAGGGCAGCAAAAACTTCTGCTGTTACAATAGCAAATACCTCAGCCCATCAGGGCTACTACGTTCCAGTGAAGACAAAATCAAAACAATTCTCAGCAAGAGCATTAGAGTGACCACAATTCTTTTACTCAGCTTGAGATAGACTGGCTCAGTGGCTGAATTGCATTCTGACTGAGGTTATTATCTGATCCTTATTCAGATCATCCTCAGTAAACATGTTCGTGTAGTAAGGTCCAGCTTAAACAAACAGCATCGCCACGGCGTCTTCTCCGGGCCACTGCTAAAGCTGAGCCTCCACACGGCTCCTTGGAGAGAGCCCCCGGGGCGGGCTGTGCCTGGCACAGGGGAGGGGCGTGGCTTGAGCCCAGGGAGCCTCAGGATGGGGCACCCTGTCCAGATCTCCGAGGGCGCTCTGCAATCAGCTTCTCTGCTCCTGTTGGTCTGTTACAGGTGGAACTCTCACAGGGCTTCTATGGCCAACGGGCATTCCTATCTGCCATCCTCAACATGCTATCACTCAGCCTCTCCACAGTATCCCTGCTCAGCAACTACTGGTTTGTGGGCACACAGAAGGTGCCCAAGCCCGTGTGCGGAAAAGGTCTGGCAGCCAAATGCTTTGACGTGCCGGTGCCCTTGGATGGGAGCAGCACCAACAACACATCATCCCAGGAGGTGGTGCAATACAGCTGGGAGGCTGGGGATGACCGCTTCTCCTTCCATACCTTCTGGAGTGGCATGTGGCTATCCTGTGAGGAAAGCGTGGAAGAACCAGGTGGGCTCCTCACCCAGGGGACCTTACGCAGCCAAAGAACCAGGGGGCAGTGGCACTCGCCATCCCCGGCTGGGCCCCACCCCCGGGCTCGGCATCTCCCACCTCTGTGTTGTGTCCCTTCTCCTCGGACTCCCTTTTTCTTTCTGTGAAGTTTTATTTATTTTTGAGAGACAGAGAGAGAGCGAGCCCACGTGAGCTAGGGAGGGGAGGGGCAGGGGAGGAAAGAGAAGGGGGAGAGAGGGGCGGAGAGAGAGAATTTCAAGCAGGCTCCCCGCCGCCAGCACAGAGCCCCAAACCCACGAACTGTGAGATCATGACCTGAGCAGAGACCAAGAGTCTGACGCGTAACCAGCTGAGCCACCCAGGCGCCCCAGGACTCCCTTTTAATAGGGTCAAAGGCCATCTGGCTTTTCCCCTCCTGACTGTCTCGTAGACCCTCTGGTTTAAAATAGCATTACCCTTAAAGGGTTTCATTTAGACTTGTAACATCATGAGAATTGCCACTCTAGTGAGTTAGGATTGCCGTTTGGAGACCCAAGGGAGGAGAGATGATTCTTCTAGAAAAAGCCCTGGCTCTGCCTAGCTGTGACCTTATATGAGCAGCTTCCTCTCTACAGACCTTGATTTTCTCACAGGTGAGATGAAAGGATCAGAGTAGGTTACCTGTACAGCCCCTTCCTTCCCGCCCCCCCAAAAGGGTTTTCTCCTTCTAAGTATTCTCATTATAATTTACCAGGTCAGGGAACTGAAGCCCAAAGAGGGTAACTAGACCCTGTAAGGGTGCCCTTGACCCTCCCAGGTCTCCTGCCACTCAGCGCATACTGGCAGAGCGGTGCCCTGTCATTGTGCATTCCTTCACTTGTGGGTCTCGGTCAGGAGCAGTTGGCCTAAGGACACCCCCCTGCCCCCTGCTCAAAGCATTCAGAGGTCACTTGCTAGTGAAGTTTCTCTAAAGCCCAGAATTGTGTACAATTAACTACATGCCATTTCTCCCAATTTGGGCTAAGGGAAAAAAGGAGATGGAAGAGAAATATAAATGCGTGTATATTTAGATTTAGTATGAACGTCCCGCTTAGCACTGCTCCAACCCCAGTCCTGGAAACAATCGAGAGCCATTCAGACCAGTGGTACAGCGGCAGCAAAAGGTTGACACTAGGATTGTGAGCCCTTCCTGGCACGAGAAATGGGGACATTTCCCCGCGGAAGCCCTCTCAGCGATGTTCTCGTCTTCACTGTCTGGAATCGGGGCGGGGCGGGGCGCGGGGAGAAATTAATCCTGAGGAATTCTAGCCTATGCCATTGCCTGCCTACTGTATGCGGGCAGGCACTGGTCTGAACGGATGGAGCTGAACCAGGTGGGAGACTGGGGGCAAAGTTTTCACCCCTCCCTGACGTCAGACCTCGTCTGTGTTTCAGGGGAGAGGTGCCGAAGTTTCATTGAACTCACGCCACCAACCGAGAGAGGTGAGAAAGGACTACTGGAGTTTGCCACGTTGCAAGGCCCATGTCACCCCACTCTCCGATTTGGAGGGAAGCGGTTGATGGAGAAGGCTTTCCTCCCCCACCCTCCCCCGGGGCTTGTGGCAAGTATGTGGGTTTGATAACAAATTTAGTTGCCGTTGACTTGGGCCTCTCTGGCCCAACCGTGCTCTGCATTGTACTGTGATCTCCTTTTCTCTTCTTCTGGGCCCCACAGGCTGACACGCATTGCTTCCAGAGTTGACGCTTATTCATATGCAGGAATGCAGAACAGGAACAGCAGGAACAAATAAAGTTCACAAATAGAAAATCGCTTCCAACCAACCTCTCTAACTTCCTCTTATTGCCTAGTAACCATGTTGAAAAGCTTAGAGGGTTTTTCCCTCCCATATATACATATAAATATATTTTTTTCTATATATATATTTTTAGTGGAATGGAGTGAAAAAGGGGAGGGAGGGAGAAAGAAACAAAATTGATCATTCCAAATTCAATAAGGAGAAAAGAGACAAAAATGACCCATAGCAGTCATGCCCCTGGAAGATTTTATGACCATTAGATGGTTTCTTCTGGAATCTCCCTAACGGTGTTTCCAGCCAATCAAGTTTACTTGATTATATATCAGGTAGTGAGCAGAGAGAGCCGAGGGTGATTATATATCAGGTAGTGAGCAGAGAGAGCCGAGGGGCTGACAGCAAAGGACCCAAATTGGAGGAAGCTCCCAAGCAGGTTCCAGCTCTGTCTCATTCTCCCCTTCTCTGACTCCGCAAGGCTTTTCCCTTTCCGATAGTCATCATTTGTACCACGTTGTTATTTAACTGCCTGGGTGAGGGCTCTTCTTCTGGTTTCTGACAGAGATCCTATGGTTATCAATGGGAGCCCAGTTCTCCTCCATTGGACTTGAATTCGTCAGCTTCCTCCTGCTACTGATGGACCTGCTGTTCACTGGGAACCCGGGCTGCGGGCTCAAGCTGAGCGCCTTTGCGGCAATCTCCTCCGTCCTGTCAGGTGCGTGCCTCCTGGGCTGGAGGGGGTGGGTGTCCTGGCCACCTTTGAGGCACCCCCCAGAGGGCGTGTATGTCTGTAGGGAGGGCAGGAACGGGGTGCCCACAGGTGGTATAAAGAATGGACGTTGCAGGCATGTTTAAGTTGAAATGAAATTTTGTATTAGAGCATTATGTACTCTGCAAAATGATTTATCTCTAGGTTCTTTTTACTTGCAAGCTTTCCCAGTATGTGAAATATGGTTTGGTTTGCTTTTCAGTTGTACATATACACACACAGCTTTTCAAGACTCTTTTGGATCAAGTAAGAGAAAGAGATGCAGATATCTATCTTACATCTTATATCTTATATCTGCAGATATAAGACAGATCAGGAATAAAGCTCACGTACAGGGCCTGGGTAGGAAGAAGTAAAAGCCCCAAATGCAGCATTGACGCAGAAACTTTTCCCATAACCCTACACCTAAAGCCTGGGGCAGCCTATTGGAAAGCTATGCATTCAAGGAGAAGCCCCCATTGCAGATGAGTCTCCCTGGGAATGTGGTGGCAGCTGGGTAATGGAACTTCTCAACCTAGGCTGCACCTGATGCAAAACAAGGCGGTTGCTCCAAACTCCTATTCCCAGATGGCAATGCCAGTGTCTCTCTAAAGGCGCTGCCTTCCTCTTCCCTCTGTAGGCCTTCTGGGGATGGTGGCCCATATGATGTATTCACAAGTCTTCCAGGCAACGGTCAACGTGGGTCCAGAAGACTGGAGGCCACATGCTTGGAATTATGGCTGGGCCTTCTAGTAAGTGCTTACCGTCTCCTGAGCCTTTTACCCCCTCCTCAGCCAACCTGCATTAGATGTTCTGCCCTTAAGCAGGTGCTTGCTCCGTGTCGTCCTATCTTCTCTTCATCCTTCATCCCTCATCAGGGGTCTTTGGACCAGCGGGCTGGCCCATGAGGTCACATCTATTCTTTCCCCACCTCCTGGGGAGCTACGGAAGGGATTCTGTTTTTCTGATGATACGGTGGTAGCAGTTGCTTCTTCACCTAATACACATGTTGCTTTGGGAAACGAGACTGATTTTATGTGACTTACGGAAGCGATGCTCCATGTTTTATATATTTTGTGGCTCAAGGTATTGGAGAACAGAGCAACGAAGAAATAGCCTTGAGATTTGGTTGGAATCCCATGGCCTGTGAATGGCTGACTCTTCTCCTGTAATGAGTAACTTCCTCCTACTTCCATTCTTATCCCACCAAACTGTGTGAGAAATAAAACCTCCCCTGCTGGTCATTCCCTAACCCTTAAAGAATGAAGGGGCCAGTTTTCGATTTCTCTTGAGGAGAAGCAGCCACCATGACAAAATAAACACCAAGTAAACATCCCCTTTAAGAGTTCCTCGCCTTCTCCCTTGAGGAACATGCTGTCTCGGCTGCACGGGTGCCAGCTTGGAGTTGCCCTACTGTCTGGGATAAGTGTGAAGTACTTTCATCGTGCTGAAAAGACACGGTGCTGGGCTCAAGGAGGCGATATGGAAGCCCATCCATGTCTATTAGGAGATCCTATCCCCTTTTCTCATGATAGGAAACAGGCCATTTGATTCAGGCGTCTTTGGCCTAATCCACCAGCCACCAGAACTTATTTTCCAGACACATGGTTTTGCACCTTGTGTCTATCTTTAAGCCATTCTTGGCATCAACATCTGCGGAGCTCAGACTACAAAACCCCCATCAGAAGCATTGCCAACCTGAGCCCACTGAGTCTGTCAGAGGCAGCAGATAGGAACACACTGTGCCAGCGTGTGGCCTGGCTTTAACCATCACTTGACCTCCTGAAATTCCTCGCTAACCTCACACAACTTCCTGTTTCCTGGGCTTCCCAGAATCATGGGGAGATTTAGGGGTTGACTTTCCAAGTTTTTAGGAATGTGTTTGATACAGTTCCCTGGTGGGTTTTTTTTTTTTTTTTTTTTTTCCTTGTCAAATCCATCCAGCTTCTCTTAAATCTCCGGCTTCTCTTCCATCCATTATAAACTCCCTTAAGCCAAGAACCACACTGTTTTCATAATAGGCAAATTCCACTATTACAACCTATAATACCTCCAGATTTGTAGTATTTCCTGAACGACTCTGAGAGGCTCAATTTGTGAACCCTAAGAATGCTAACCTCAAAACGAAGAAGGTAGAGGAATGATCACTCTCAGCATCTGATCTGAACAAAGGAAAATCTTTGGCAGGGTGTGGGGGGTGTTGAGGGGGTGCATTGGGCTGCATCCACTCTACACGGCTGAGCTACAGGTTTGTGGAATCTCGGGAGATTACAAGGGTATCTGCAGCTTGGGAAACAGTAGTCCAGAAAACTGTGTGCGTGTGTGTGTGTGTGTGTGTGTGCGTGCGCCATGTGTGTTTACATATGTATATAAAACAGGCACACTGGGAATAAAGGAGCTCAGCACTGACAACGGATCAATCCAGTGAAAACGAATCTGTTAAACTCCTAGTCTGACTCTTAACACTACTGACTACAAGAGTCATTCCCTTGGACTACAAAACATTCAGAACGTATCCTACTAAGACCAAATTAAGGCCTCGTGCCCGTGGTTCTTGACCTACAACGTAGTGGAGGGAACACACGCAGGTCCCTAAACCCTGAGGGGCATCGGCCTAGTTTGCTGGTAGGAAGGAATCATGGTATTTTCCCTGAAACCTGTAAGGAGGTCAGGTTCTTACTGTGCAATTTTTTTTGTTCATCCCTAGCACGGCCTGGGTTTCCTTCACCTGCTGCATGGCATCGGCTGTCACCACCTTCAACACATACACCAAGCTGGTGCTGGAGTTCAAGTGTAAGCACAGTAAGAGCTTCAAAGGAAACCCGACTTGCCTGCCACATCACCACCAATGTTTCCTCCAGCAGCTATGTGCAGCCCACACAGGGGGTCCTTTGACCAGCTACCACCAGTATCCCAATCAGCCCATCCGCTCTGTCTCTGAAGGAGTTGACTTCTACTCAGAGCTCCGCAACAAGGGATTACAACAAGGACCCAGCCAGGCTCTTAAGGAAGAGGTGGCGGGGTCAGTCGTAGAGGAAGAACAGTGTTAGGAATAGTGGGGGGTTTAGAGGGCAGGCTAAACCCAACCTTACATGTTCGTTATCAACATGTACGTAAGCCAAAGTCTGTGTCTTAAGCATGGTTTTGATGGGTAAGAACAAGAGTATCTTAAAGTACAAGACCAAAGGGGTGTGTGCCCAGGTGCCATCGCTCCCTTTTCCTTTCCCACTCCGTCTCCTGTCTCGTTTCACCGTCCCCCTATCTCCCACGTTCAGAATCACCTCCTTTCCTTTACTGATTGCTTGTTACGTGCTAGGTTCTGGGCTAAGCAGCACAGTCCCTGTCCTTTAGGAGTTTATCAGTTTGGTCATCTATCTGGGATTTGGAGGAATGGAGGTGCGCAACTTAACAGGTGATTGTGACTCACCTTTCCACGATGCACTTGAATTTTCCTGGAAGCCTCAGAATGGAAAACGAAGGCCCTTCCGGGAGCTTGGACATGTAGGACAGATGTCCTCCGCACTGCCTGCTGCAGTGTCCTGCATCCACGTAGGAGGGTACCCAATAAAAGTTTAATTAGGTATTAACCCAGAGGCCACCAGGAGACTAGTATACATGAGAAGGCTCCCACAGCATGCAGGGACAGGTCCACTTCCAGAAAGGGTCCACTGAGGCTATTCATCATGGGATTTATGGTAAGGGAGACGTCTCTAATGAACAAGGCCACAGCACATACTCCTCTCTGGAGCCCCAACTCATCCACCCACTCACCGTTTCTCTTTTCCGTAAGGGAAAAGACACCATTCCAATGGCTAAGGTGAATGAGGATAACACACAAGCATGTTTCTACACATAATTTTTATTTGTTCTGCAACAATTCACATTTTTAATAGTGCTTCCTGACCATATACCAGCTGGCTCTTCTGTAGTATGGGCAATAAAAGTAGCAATTCACATTCAAGGGGGTTGGTATCAGCATCCCACACTGCCAAGGAGGAGTAGAGACCATCTACGGGACGGGGGGATGCCGTCTAGGATCGAAGAGGCTGTAAGGATAGCAAGGAGGAAAGCTTGGGCGAAGGAAGCCCCTTGCATTTGCGGAAGTCACTACTATCCCTAAGTGGCAGTCACGCTGGCCTTGCCGGTTCCCCATGTTGTGAGTGGGGGGAAGGGAGGAGCTCTTCCTATCTTAGATGTCAGGTTGGGTGGGTGCCTGTAAGGAAAAGGAAGTGTGGGGACCTATCTGACAGACCAGCACCCAAGCTGGTCAGATGAAGCTTCCTCAGTCCTCAGCCACCATTTCTACCCTCTGCATGGCTGCAGGAGGGACGACAGCTTGTACTGTGTCTAGCAAAAAGGGAAAATTATAGTCAAAACAGCCTATGTTAAGTTAGTCTGTAAACACATCACGAATAATGTAGGGATGTATGCTTTCCTAGCTTCCTCTTACATAGTTCTGGGACTCACCCAGCATAAACACAATCTTCTACCAAAAAGGATCCCCCCAGAGCAGGCCCTCCGTAAATGACCTTGCATTTTATCCCTCTACCTAAAGTGGCTGGCTTCCCACAGAGCCTCAACATGGTAGAGAACGAAGTTTAGGCATAGATGGCTCAGCCCAGGCCACAGGACCACAACCCAAGCTTTAGGTATTCAGTTGACTATAGATTAGTCCTTAGAATTATCTACTAGGCCAAACAAGATCCTAGGCTCTTCCACCCAAGTAGATTCAAACCCTAGAAGTGAATCTAGAATCATCCCCATCCTCTTGGGTTTTCATCTAATTGTTTCCCCAAGTTTACAACAAGCTGGACCCACACGTGCTTCCCAAAGTATTGAAACCAGATTTGCTTTCAGAGACTATGGCAAGGGGGTTTCCAAGAAACATCGCAGGCCAATATGCTAGTGCTACCAAACTCGTGTTATGTCATAATGCCAACCAGTGGGCAAGTAATATACATCCCTTTAAATCTGGGATCCCTAAATTTCTGTAATCTCTAAATTTTCTGGACTCCCTTTATTAACACAAGCTAAAAACACAAAGGCTCAAGCAAAGACAGAACCTGAGTTGCACTCGGGCATGACCTATCAAAATTATTCAAGAAGAAAAGCAGTTCTTCACCGGCTAACGTGCAATTTTCTGCTATACAAACAATGACCTAGAAGTTTAGAAGAAAACTTAATAGAAGTAACATATGTATTGAAGAAGGAAGAAATAAGCACTGGAAGTAATTCCAAAGAACTTAATTATAAAAGTTATAATATTTACATGGGAATTTTCCCAAAATACAGTGCTTCCAAGGCTCTACAAGGAAGGAGATGTGCAGGCAAAATGGTTGCATACTGGACTCAAGCAAGAGTAAAACTCCAGAAACAGCTTTGCTGTCATGCAAGCAAAGCAAAAATATCTCGGCAAGTGAGAGGCGCTAAGGAGGATGCCCCGTAGGAGATGCTAAGAAAGCAGAGTAGAGATGAGGCAGGGATAAGGCTACCCACCTCAATCATTCCTGACTTCACACACGTAAGGACCACACACACACAAGCACTCCTGACGTTACTGCCGTGAAAAGGTCATGATGGGCAGGGCAGAACAATCAAGACCACATGATACCATTGTTAGAGGTCGGTCCCCAACTATACTTCTCTGGCTCCCCTTCTGACAGGAATATGGTGGTGGTTATGGTAACTAAGAATATAGAGATGGAAAGTGTGAGGAGGGAGGCTCTGTACGATAAGAAAGTGCTGGATGGTTACCTCAGCCCCTCACTGCCAGTCTTCTCCCTGCTGTTAAAGTAGGGAAGAAGCCAAGGTGCAGGTGGTGAGAGAATAGAGAGGGAAATGACAAGTGGCCCTGAATATTGGAGGCAGGGCACCTGACGTCTCAAGACCAAATAACCCAGATGTATTTCAGAAGGACAAGAAACCGGGTCCCTGAAGCTTAAAACAGACCTAGAAAATGTTTCATCACAATACTAATACATACACACGCGTGGCATGATGCAAAACAAAATGTTCTGGGGAAGAACTTCACTGGAATTTCCCAGTAAGAGTTTATAAATTAGACATACAAAAAACAACATGGAAGATTCACATTTGCATACTATCCACAGAGTGCCCAGAGGGGGTTAACGCAGGGACTGAAAACATAGGTCAGATACCCCAGTCAAATGGATGGTGCTGTCATCAAAGAACTCTGATGCACCTTCCAAAGTGCTTTGCAACAATTGCGCAGACGTGGTAAAATGAGGTTGAAGTCTTCCTTCTCTCCAAAGCACTGACTCTGCGCTGATGGGGGAGAGAGAGTACCACCCTGCTCACTTCTTCTGAGACTGAAGATTCCATCAGACTATATCTAGGGGAAAGAGCGCAAGCATCAGAGACTTTATTTTTTTCATGGTAGAGAACTGGAGGAAACCTAAAGGTCAGGCTATTCCTCTACTTTTCTGTCCTTTTGTCTAGCCCCAGTAGTTCATAAGTCTTTCCAGAAAGGTCCAAAAACTTTACCTTTTTCCATGACAAACTCATGAACACTGAACTAGACCACAGTATTTGAGGGGTGGGGGATTAGCATTTTGAGCAAGATAATTCTCCGGAGTAACTGCCACAATCACTGCATGACGTTAGCACCACGAGGCCCAACCCAGAAAATTAAAGTAGAAGCCACCCACCTCAGTCACTGAGACCGTGAAAACCATGAGCCCACATTTCCAAATGTCCCCTAAGGGAGATGGTACCATCCCCAGCTAAAAACAATTGAATATTTCTGAATGGTCATGAAGCACCCTAAGAAAAGAGTCCTGCTCTAACTGGTTCTTGACACCCAAGAAGACTCCCACTCTCCCTACCTTCTAGAGAACAAAGTCGGAGTTGGTAGTGTTTGCCCCAAACCCTCAGTGGTAACCAAGTATTTCTTTCAGAAGCGATTCACCTGGTAGGGAAGATCAACAAACTTTATCCTAGAGAGGAATCTTCGCAGCTCCCCGCGGCCAATTTTGGGGGTGGTATCCTCGAGTTGGACCACCTGGCCTTCCATCAGCGCCCACCGTAGACTGAGCTTGCTGACCACCAGGGGTGCTGGGTGGCCTTCAGAGCTGGGCCCTGTTGTCCTGGTAACATAAAAGGCATCTTTCCAGAGGTCGTTAATTCCAACTGAGGAAGGACAAAAACAAGAGCAATTAACATAAAGACCAAAAACTTCTGCTAACAGGAGAGTGGCTCGGTTCAGCAGCTAGATTCATTCATTCATTTACTCTTTCATTAATTCATACACAAAGTTTATTGAGCACCTAATAAATGCAGGGCACTGAGCTAGGCAGTGGGTGCACAGTGGGAATGACTGGTGGCCGGCAAACCAGCACATTCCTCTCGGTCTCTGAACCTTTCCTTCTCTGAAGCTGTTTCCAAGAAAACCCCAAATCAGGAAATGAGGATATGCCAACTCTGGTGACAATTTGGTAAAAAAGTGAGCACAACAAACCAGAACTTCTGAGAATTCCTGGACTGTCAGTGCGTGATCACAGAAGATATGTGCCTCCCCAGTGCTTATTTGGCCTCATCCTTAAAACAGGGATCATAAAAATGGTCTGGATTCTTAATCACCATCATTTAGCCCTCACTGAATAATATTTGATGCTAATATTGAGAAACGGCTCATTTAGATCCAATCACAGGATTCTCCCCACTCCGGCCCCCCACCACACACACAGCCAGCAGGCCAGTATGCCTGCAAGTTCCAGATCAGGTGTTCTTCCCGATGTATCTCAACAAACTGAGAGCCACAATCATTGGCTTTAACTTCAAGGCAAATGAGTTTGTGCACAGTGAGCCAGTCTGTGAATGGCAAGAGAACACAGAAGTAAAGGAAAAGGGGCCAGTCTGGTCTTCCTCTCCACAATACCCACAGCAAGGACTACAGACTCGCTTAGGCCAGAGAGAGGCAAAGGATCTCGGTGGAGGAGACCATCAGACACTTCCAGACCAGGAGGGGGCAGTGGCTGAGTTTCCAGAGCTTTGACCACCTGAATTACAGGACTCCAATACAGGATCCAGATTTTGCTGTATGGTATTATTTATATACATATATAAAGCTGAGGAATACTTCTAAAATGTTAATAGCAATTATGAGTGGTCAGATTCCGGCAAAATTTTTTTTTCTTTTTGATTATTCTCTTGGCAGCCACTTCTACGCAATGGGCATGTTTACTTGTACTAGTCAAAAGAAAGCCTCCCACTGATCCTAAACCAATATCCTGGAGACAACATGCTACCTCCATCATATCCCTCACAGTTAATTCTAAATCCTAAGCTCTTGGAGGGTCGAGAAACCAGTCTTATTTGTATTCCTAGCACCTGGCACGGTGCCTGACATACAGGTGATGCTCAGTGAATGTCTGCTGAAGGAGTGGCTGTGGGAATCACATCCCCCCAAGAACCTCTGGGACATGGGGCTGCACTGGCCCTCGGCTTTCAGGCCTATTCAGAGAATTGGGTCCTCAGCCTGTGAGCCAAGTGCTCCTCCCAGAGGGAGCACTCCGGCCATGGCCCTGGGCACCAGGGCGCCAGGGAAAATGCATGGGAGTGCTCAGCTGTCATTTGAAAGTACACATCCCTCCGCTGGTAGGACGGTGGTACCCTCACACACACACAGCCGGCACATCTCCTCCCCTCGCTGTGCACGCAGTCCCCACTGTCACTGGGACTCACCCTCTGAAGCCGTCACTGTGCCCGTGGCATTGGCCAGATCGAGAAGAAGAGAGGGGAATGCTGGGTGCAGGAGGTAGAGGTGGTGAAGGCTGGGTGGCCCAGTTCCCGGGATGGCGTCCTGACAATAAGAAGCAAAAAGGAAGAACGCAGGTAACTCTACGTTCCCACATGTGAGGTCCTCGGATGAAAAGGGCAGAGGGGACAGTGATTACTCACTCCTCTCTGATGCTATGACCTGACCCCAAATACAAGCATGTGTTTGAGAAAAACTCCCATATAAAAACTCCACATATTTCAAAGAGCTCAAAACAGACTAACCACTAATTTCTTCAAACCACTAGAGCTGGAAAGTGCCCTCTCCCTTATGAGAAAAAAAAGAACGGAAATGTGCATGCCCCAGGAGAGAAGTTTGATGGGGCGGCTCCCAGTCTTCTGCCCGTGGAGTATTACAACACCGGGTCATCTCTTGCAGTAGGTGGGGCTTTGTGGAGACAAAATGTATGTTTGAAAAGACATCTGTCTCCTCTCACTGGGTATTAAAGCCAATTACAAGTGTCAAGCTCAAATCCACAAAACTCTTCTCAGTTCCTGAGATAAACAGAGCATTGGCCACACAGAAGCAAATCATTAAAAAAAAAAAAAAATTCCAAGGCCCAAGTGTCAGTCGTCTTTGCAGAAGACGTGCACATTGGCCCTTCCTTTACTGGTGTGACTTTTGCGCAAGGATGACATTCCATTCTTGCACGTGTGCAGCCATTCGGTTGTTAATGCACAAAAATACCACGGATGGGTTAGTAAATGACTGCTCTACCAAGCTCCTCGAGGACCTCCCCTCCCCTGGGAGCATCCTGGGGCTCTGCTAGTGGAGGAAGTAGAACCCCATATTCTTAGCATAAGAAGTCCACTGAGTGAGGAGAAACACAGGCGGGAAGCTTGCAGCCACGCTCCCACCACCACACAGAAGAGGGCGTTTTCCACACACACGCTCAGGAGCCCAGGCTTGAGAGGACAGACCTCTGGCTCTGTCCACGTGACAAGCAAGGAGTCAAACTCCCTCCTCACTGCCTAGGGAATGGAGCCCAAATTCCTAGCCTGAAAACCAAGGTCTAACGGCATTTAATCCAAATCTGACGTTTCCAGCCTCTTCCTACAATTATTTACCTGCCCACCCATGCTTCAGCAACCTCTACTGCCCTTGCCCTCTCTAACCTCTGCCAACCTATTTCCCCCTTAGACTGTCTAACAATCCCTGCAGCCCATTTCCATGCATTAATACAATTCTCAGCCTTAGGTCCCACACCTAAATGCCACCCCTTTCACAAAAAGCTCTCTAACTGCCCCAGACAAAATTAATATCCTCTCCTTTTGTGCTTCCACCTAAACCTCTTATTTGTGCTTCCTTTGTGGCATTTGTGACATGCCTTTGTTTTGTGGTTATTTATAGACACTTACATTTGAGAGTCACTTGCTCTAATCCCCTCATTTTATTAAATGAGGAAACCGGGAAGTTTAAAATGTTAGGCAAACTATTCGTGGGCACACGTTGGGGCAGAACAGAATTAGGACTAAAACCTAGATTTTGAGTAAATCTGATCCTCAAACTGGAACATATTAGCATATTCACTGACAGATAAAGACCATGAGGCTCAGAAAAGTGAGGTGGCTCGTCCAAGAGTGCACGGTTGATGAACTCAGGACTCTTCATCCTTTGGGGTCCCCCCCCCCATCTGGGGACCATCTGCCTTCTCCTCTAGAGGACCAGCACTCTTTCCAGACTATCCTTAGGTCCCTACAGAGAACACGGCATCTGGCGGAGAGTGAGTGCTGGTCAAGACGTGTTTAATTGAACTCATTCAGGGTGGGTCTTACCAAAAACTCCCAGGCACCTAATACAGGTGGCACCCTGCCTCATCAGCCCCACTGAAATGCTGTGTATAGCACTTAAGACATTCCAAAATCTGCCTTCTGGGCATAGCACTTTCTCTCCCACACTTCCCCCGGGTAAACTCTCAACCTCAGCCTCAGCCTCGTCATCCTCTCCAACTGCTTGCCATCCCAGCCCCACACCGTTTCTGCAGGCTCCGTTTATTTGCCTCAAAGCCCAGCCTCACCCTCCATGAGACCTCCTCTGCCCATTCCACACCAGTCACAGTTAGTTCTCTTCAACTGTGGCACAGATGGATCATCTGGAAATCTGGACCTTGTGGCTTTAGAAGACCTATCCTTTATCTAGCCTCCCACTGTCAGCAGCCAGCAGCCAGGGGCTGTCGGCTTGCACAATGCTCGGCCGAAAGGAAGGCCAGGGCAAGCAGCGCTCAGGAGGAAGCAGGGTCTTGCCCTGCCTGCTCGAGTGCTGCTGTGATCCACCCCCGCCCCCCGGAAGTATGGCAGCTCCATGGACCCCAGCAGGCCCAATCAGCCCAGCAGAGCAGTTATCACCTCACCAAGTGACAAAGGCCCCCACCCCCCAGGCCCACTTACAGAACTGGGAGATACCGCCGACATCCCCTCGGCCCAGAAGAGGAAGACAGACTTCTGATCTGAAGTAACCGCCGAGGTGGTTGGCGTTTCCTTCATGTGGCAGGGAGCGTTGTAGGTCCAGGTAACAGAGCCCGAGTCCCCATCCACCACCATCATCTGCAGAAGAGGAGCCTGTGAGTACAGCCCATCTCCAGAAAGGCAGCAGGCCAAGAAAACACACAGAGCAAAGAAAACCCACAGAGATCCAAATAACACATGTATTAACAGGTTGAGCTTATTACATGTGAACAAACTGGGTGTTCGGAGAGCATTATATAAGGCCTAGGGACCAAGCCCCACTTTTCAGCAGCTGTTGTCTCCATTTTGTAGAGTGTAAAGGATTGTAGAATTCTCCAGTGGGAAGGAGATGTTAATCATCTGATCCACCTCTCATTCTCAGGGTGAGAGGGTGGAGGCCCAGGACAGGAAGGGACTCAGATTGTTCAGGGTCCGTGACAGTGCTCCGACAGAGAGCGGCCCTTGGAGGGGAGCACCTACTCCCGCTCCTTCCCTCCCGCAACTGCAGCCACCACTTTAGGGAACAATGACTAAGTGGACATAAGTCCTATGGGCTGTGCTAAAAGCTTTCTGGGTTTGATGATCTCATGGCACATGTAGCTCAGCCCCAGGGTGGTCTCAAATTCAAAAGAGCACATCTAAACAGATGAACACATAAACTAAGAGATTCACTTAGTTTACTTAGATTTACTCCTCAGCTGCGTCTCTCAAAGGACAATTAAGGGGCCTGAACTCATCATCCCTGGCACACTGCTATCTCCTTTTCACCCCAAATACCTCATACCTCACAGTTTTAGAGCCTCTTCTCGGCCAAAATCCACAAGAAACTCCCCATCCACCTCTAGCCCCTGTCTTTATGGCCCTTCTCCTCAAGGGTCTGTTCTTGGATAAACGGAAGGACTGTAGCTCTGGCAACAATCACTTCCCTATTCTTCCAGCCTCCGGGTCCTGCCCTTCTTTGTCCGTGCTCAGACTCTGCCTCATGGAAGGTCCTGGAACCACACAGAGGGACAAACTCCCCTGAGCCAGCAGTTCAAGATTCCCTCCGGCAGTCTGAGGAGAAAAGTCTTGAGACACCACACTAAAAAATTTTATCCAGTCACACATATTATTTAGCTGTCATAATAACCCTATGAAGATAGGTGATAACTCCCACTTTATAAAGCGATGTAGAATCTGCAGTTGGGTGAGATTATGTAATTCACCCAAGGTCACTAGCAAGTAGTGGAGCCAGGATTAAATTCCAGGTCCAAACCCTCAGCATCTCATCTCTTAAGCAAGCTACATATCCCCTTCTCCCTTAATCCCGCTGGAATGCCCATGGAAATTCCAATCTCTACCTGAAATCTTTTTGAAACACAACCAGACATTGCTTCCTTCCTGGACAGCACTGCTGGAACTGCTCCCTGAAGTGATGCTTCTATCATCGGCTCTGTCCTCCACTCATGACCAAATAACCCTACTGCCTCCAATACATCACCTAAATTCTGCAGCCTTGCTTTTCAGGGCCCTCCATCATCAGCTGAGCTCACTCTGATCTCTCTGGAGGAAATACCCCTTGGCCTACCCTTATATACCGACCCAGCAAACCACTTCTCTGCTTTCATGATTTGAACATCTCACCTGCAACCAACATGAAGCACCTCTTGACTCCCTGCACTCTATCTGCTCCCCACGTCCCCATGGCGTTGTGCAGACCTCCTTTACCTACCCACCATGATGTGGTAGGGCTGTGTGCATACAGGCACCCCAAAGACTATGAACTACACAAAACCAGGACCTTGTCTTCATTACTGCTGTGCCTCCACAGACATCATCTGTGCATCTGGCACGGAACTTGGCAGATATTAGAGGAGATGATTAAGTGTTTTGTTTGCTCACAGGGAACAGGGCATAATATATAAATATATATGTTACAGTAAAGATAAACTGAAAAGATTGGTCAGTTATAAAAAAGAGATTTTAAAAACTCTAATTCTCCCTGTAATAAGAATGAAAACTGTCTATCCAATCATTATAACCTCATAATATGCAACCTCACATAAAATCAGGAAGACCTATGGAACATGCCATACCATTCTGTCTCTGGGCCACCGGTGTCAGTGTTTCTAACCTAACAAGCCTTCCCAACCACCCTTCCTCATATAAATGTGGTTCAGCTTTCCAGGTTCTGCTCATCATCTTTCCCTCCTTTGTTAAGTCTTTCATAACAACCCAACCACCCCAGATATCCTGCCTTCTCTGAAATCTTGGGAAGATATGTACTGAAGTACTAAGTTCATTTATGCCTGCCTTTCCCCACCAAGAGACTTCAGAAGGTTCCTATTGCCTAACTGTGAGTTAAGAATCCAGAAAGGGGGGTGGGGAGGGCGGCGGGGAGGCGGGCAGCACCTGGGTGGCTCAGTCGGTTAAGCATCCAACTTCAGCTCAGGTCATGATCTCATGGTTTATGAGTTCGAGCCTC